AGTTGAAATCCTGCCTCCTTTTATACCCCCCCCCCCCCCGGTGTTCATATTCATTTTCCAAATCAACAACCATCTTTACCTCAAACATAACCTTAAATACCATAAATCCATTATACTTTTAGGGAGCTAGTGTCCATTTTACTTTTAATTCACCATAAAAATTCTCTCTTCATTTTAACTCAGTCCCTTTTTTTATTTTCCTTCTTCATCTTCTTCCTCTTCCTCATCTTCTTTTCCTTCTCCAGTCCCTTTTCAGTCATGTCTTATATTAAGCTTTTCAAGCAGTTTCTCTGCTTCTAAAGGGGTTTTAGCTCTCATCAATTTTCCATCCTTGAAGATTAAGATAGTTGCTGGGTATCCCCAGGAAAATAAAATCCCATTGTTAAACAGATCTTCAGCATACGGTTTCATCAATCTTCTCTGTTGTAAGGTCTCAGGTGATAAATCAAGATGTGGTGTAACTCTCTGTCCTTGAAATTGTAAACTTTTAATTTTTAAAGGGTTTTTCAAATCTCATCTTGCAGCTTTTCTCTTGAGAAGGCAATAATAACATCTCTTGGATTTTCTCCAGCTTTGGGTTTCGTTTTTAAACTTCTATGCACGCGTTCCAAACAATTTTCCATAATATTTATCCCAAGCTCTTGAAACCATTCAATTAAAGTCTTTTCAAGTCCTCTAAATGGGATGCTTTCCTTTATACCTGAAAGCCTGAGATTTCTTCTGCGCTGCCTGTCTGATAATGAGGCAAAATGTCTCTTGAACTCTTGTAACTCCTTCTCATTCTGTTTTGTATTTTACAAAGCTTTATCAGCCGTTGACTGAACTGCTTTAATTTCCTCTGTTAAATGTTCTACTTTACTTTGAAGCTCTTTTATATCACTTCTAATATTTGTCTCCATGCTAGTTATCAATTCTGCTAATTCTTTAAGCTCTTTTTTGCCACCATGTCATCTTTACTTTAACTGCAGCCTTAAACACATCTTTTAGATAGTTTTATATGCAAAATAACTCACCAAACCCAGTCAATATTTACTCTTCAGAGCTTAAGCTCCCCTTTAGGTTCTGTTTTTATTGTTTATCTTCCATTATCTCTAGTTGTTATTCATTTTATCTTGCCACTTTCTCGGAGGAGTAGTATGAGGCGTCTATCTCTGTTGACGCATGCGCAGAACTCCTCATCGCCATCTTTTCTGCCCACCCAGTCATTGTTTATATTTCAGAGAAAAGTTTTCAAAAGTCAGCAAAGTTGCTCCAAAACCTCTTTTTGATTAGATTTGTACTTTGCTTGATTCAATCGACCCTCACCATTTCTCCTAGCCCCTCTCACTAAACGAACTCACTTAAAGATGTAAGGGGGGGAGGTGTGAGCTAGCTCCCTCCCCATCGATACCGTTCGGGGCTTCGGATATACACTTTGCCAAATAGCCAGTCATAAAGGAATTTGCACTCACGCTTCATTCCACACCCGCTGCAGAGGTAGGGAGAGCTTTATTTTCATTGGATCACTTGTTCGCTCGTCCAGTGTACACCTCTTAGTGCCATAATGGTGCAGCGGCAATGGGACCTATCGGAGCTTGGAGATGCCTCAATTCCTTGGCTGCAGTCTCAGGAGAGGCAACCAAGGAAAGGCACAGAGTGCTGTCCTAAGGCCCACTTGACCTTTTTTTTTTT